AACCGCGACCGAGGACAGGAATGACCTAGTAGTTGATGAGACAGAGAGGAGTGACCCTGGAGGAGGTCCCTGTAAGGTCCTGAGAGGTCCCTAAGGCGTAGGTAGGGAAGATGGATGTATGGAACCTAGTAGTATTGCGTGGTAGGAGTTGTACTCACTAGAACGTCAATATAGGATCGAATAGGTCGTATTGGGATTGGGTATGGAGTGTCTAAGCTCCTGAGAAGATATACGCCCAGGAGGGTAGGTTCCTGGGGACTGGGATTGAGGGTGGACGTCCTCGAGTGTGGGAGGTTGTAACGGCGAAGCGGTACATAGTTCAACGTAGGAAGCGGCTTCGACGTTACCTAGATTGAGATCCCGTAGCTTAGGGAGCAATGGGGGAGCTCGAGGAGGTGTTGGGGAGGTTAGCTCTCCAAGGCGTTAGGCGTTGGGGAGCTTTAGTATTGTTCAAGGGAGCTCAGAGACTCACTCGGATTGCTTAGATGTGAAGTAAAAGCGTATATTGGATCGTGTAGACGATCGCCGAAACAGTAGACAAGAATAGAGAGAAACTGAGATAGAGAAACAGAGAGTAGAGAGAATTCCGTATGGTTAGCAGGTACAAAGGGACAGGGACTGGACCTATGTAAAGGGTGTGTTCAAAATATACCAAGCTAGCGCTTGGGGACGTTGCGGTACTACTTAAATAGGTACAGGAAGTGAACATGGGAGCATTGGGGAATCTGGTATATGTATGTGGGGTAACTGATCGAGATTAGGGCTAAATGGGGTTTGTTGCGGTGGAAGGGTCTACGGATGGTGTACCATGGGAACTCGGGGTGTATTGCTGAGGCTGGGTCGAGGTGGGGAGGCTTATGGAGAACCCAGGAGGTCTTGCTAAAATGATGGGGGGGGGGAGGTTCTTCCGACAGGGGAGGTCCTTCGGGGTCGGTTAGGGGTATGGTAGGTCAGTCAGGGCATGACACAGAGGTCACAGAGTGTCTAAGTGCGGAAGACGAGTGGGACAGTAGTGAAGTTATTAACAACACCGCTGTTACGCCGTTAGTCCCCGGAGATCGAGAGTATAGAAGGGAGGAGCTAAGTAGCAGCCAAGTCGGAGCGGCGGTATCGCCGGTGACGAGGAGCGGACCAAAGAACGTCGAAGTCCTAAGGTAGAGTAGAATGTACTTCAAGGCGTTGAGCCTGAAGACTTAGAGGAGCACAGAGAAAAAGAGGGAATCTAAGTCGATAATTAAACTGAGGAACTACAGTAGCGTACAGGCAGTATTTATATCTACGGAGCGGCGCAGCGGTGCGGAGCGCCAGACTAACTACTAGGAGCTATACGTGTAGTCCTGCAGGGTAAAGTAAAAGACAATAAGGAGAGACTAGAACGTAAGGGTATGTGTAGCGAGAAAGAACAATAAGAGAGAGATTACAATAAACGCAGGATCTTCGGAGTACTGAGCGGCAAGATGGAGGCCCAAGGCATGGGCTTGACAGTAACACTGAGCAGGACTCACAGGAGAACCAAGGCTACCAGGGATTGAGTATGATTGAGAGAGAGAAAGAGAGAATACTGGATACAGTGAGGGAGTACTCTATGAAGTCAAATGGAGGTAACACAGTAAGGTCTTCTAGTATGGACAAAGCTATATATAGTGAGATCTGTCACATATGTGACTGTATGCATATGTCAGTAAACAGCATGTTTATAGGAGGGAGGTGTTAAATGCATAGTGGTGACACTCTTGAGCACCTTCCTGGGTGGGGCTGGCTCAAAGTCTTAGTGGAAACAATAAAGTGGGAGAAAAGTGAGTTGGATTTCTGTCACAAAGCAGCAGGGGCAGAGTAACCAGATGGAGTGATGAAGCAGAGAGGTAAGGCAAATGACAGGGTGGGGCAACTAAGTGGAACATGAGTGGACTGGTCTCAAGATAATGATAGAGATATTAGTAGTGTGTGAACTGCATAGCTGTAAGACCTGGGTCAGAATGGGTCTTATAGATGGTGTTAGCATAAGTAGTTTATGTTGTAGCATGCTAGGAGCAAGCAGGAGCTCAAAGGGAGCCACGGGAACCACAAGTGAGGACTGGAATGATCTAATAGAAGTATGAGAACATGAGGTGTGTGTCATATGCATGCAATTAACTTGATACGCTTCCCGGACTGGCCAGACTTTGGATTAATAACCTTGTGACTTACATTCCATTTATTTATTATTCCAAGCTTTCATCGAGACCTTGTGACTGTATTTGGGATGTATATAAGCCAGGATACTTTGTACGATACTTTGTACATTGTAGTCAAGCTTGAAATCAAGTGTACCACCTTATCCCACTCTTTAATATCTCCTTTACCTTTACTTCCGAGCCATTCCAGACTCCCAGATCACAGGAACCCCATCTAGGCTGCTCATCTTGACATTATATCCTTGCCATTATATTCCCGGGGACACAACAGTGTGTGAAGGGTATTGCTAATAGCTTCACCGATGTTCCACTCCCAGTGTGTACTACAGGCCAGTACTCAGCTCCGGACCTCGGAGTTATCCTGGGCCATTTCCGGTCCATATCCAACCTTAGAACCTCTATAGTTATTGACCTGTAGGCATGGTCTTGTCAGTGTGACCCTTGAGAAGATCCCTAGGATGTTAGCCGGCATGGGTTGACAAACTGTAGACTGGATATTGTTAGGATAATCAAGTGATGTGAGCTATGGGGGCTCTAAATGTTAATGTAGGGCCATTAGAACTACTAAGAGACAGGAGATGTAGGGGTGGGAGCTCCTAGAAGAAAGTGGGAACCTGGGAGGAGGTCCCGGGACGAGAGTACATAGTGTCATGAAGTATGTAGCCCCTATCATTTTCCTTTTCTCACCGTCTTGACACCTTTACTTGTATGATACTTCATCTCATCATTATCCCAATTACATCACTGTCAAATCCCATCAATTGCTGATCCATCTGACCCCCTTCCTTGATTACCAATCCACCTATTTACCCTTCTTCTTCTACCGGCTTCCGCCACCTTCCTTATCCTTGAACTGTACAGTATTATATCATTATTTCTTGCAGATTGGACTATGTATATAAAGCCAGCCCCTCACAGCCTGGTCCCTTATCTTGACCTCTCTGTCATTATCTTGGGACCAGGTATGTGCTTACTTACTAGTACTTAGGACGATGATACTAATGAAATCTCTGTCATTATCTTGGGACCAGCTTGGGACCAGTCCATCTTCGCTCCACTTAGTCACTCCACACTATCACTCTGCTCAGTTGCTCTGCCTCCCTGCTCCGCTGAGTCACTCCACTGCTGCTGCTTTGTGACACATAGTAGTTGGTGTTCCCAAGCAGTACAGGCAACAATGGAGAAGCGATACATGGGTGGATGTAGTGGAGAGCTTTGACATTGTTTAGATTTAAGATCCCAGTACTTGGGGAGCAAGTAGGGAGCTTAATGAGATGTTGGGTAGGTTGGCTCACTGAAATGGTGGACATTTGGGGAGCTTTATGTTGAACGCGGCTATGCTGTTCACACGTCACTAATACGGTCATGTGTTATCCTAGTCTATGCTTAGTGTACACTGACATCATATACCATATGCGGATTCCTCAGTACTTCCTTATGTAATACTGTCATGCATTTATGTATATAAGTAGCTATGTCCTGTACTGGAATCCAACTCGCTTCTCTCTCATCTTTATTGCCTCACTGAGACTATAAGCTATACTACCCAGGTATGGTGCTAGAGAGTGTCACCACTATGCACCCCTTGCCTGCTCAACACTTTAGAATTGTTCGAGGGAGGTTGGGTACTCACTTGGGATGCTTGGACATGAGGTAAAAGTGTATATTGGATCATGTAAACAATTGTAAAGACAAGAGATAGATACAGAGAGTAAAGAAAAATCCATATAGGTAGCAGGTACAAAGGGCCAGGGACTAGACTTATGTTCAAGGGTGTGTGATCAAAATATACCAAGCTGGCATTTGGGTGTTGGGAAATACTCCGTACGACCCCTGTACTTGTACATCATGACAGGTAAACAGTGTTATTAGCTTATACTGTCCAGTAGCCAGTACATATATACACCAGACGTGGACACAAACACCTTAGTTGCATTACATTCAACTGAGTTAAACTACCTTAACATTGGGATGCTACAGGACTGCTTAAATAGGTACAGGGAAGTTAACAAATGGGCATCAGGGGATCTGGTGCATGTAAGGTAGGTGATCAAGATTAAGTATATGCTAATAATGCTGTCCCTACAGTATGTAATGTTTGCTGATGTATACATACAGAGTATTCCCTAACACAACCTGGTTATCCTATTCACACCACTGCCTCCACTACCTCTCCCATTGATAGATCAATCAGCCAACTGCTAAAACAACCTCCTATGTAACTGATTCATCAGCCCCCAACAGTGTGACCTGCCAAGGCTTGAGTGCCTCCTCAAAGGTTTCCTGGGTAGAGAGGATGTGGGTTGTGGGGATTATGAATGAGAGAGAGCAAGAAGGAGAAGGAGAAGGAAAAGGAGAAGAAGAGGGGGGAGGGGAGGTGAAGTGTGTGATAATGGTGGTGGTAAGGCAGTCAAAGGGACATAGATGCACAATACTTCCACAAACCACTTCCCACAGGTGCTCCATGAATGTTAGTATTGACTCACTTGAATGTCAGCTTTGACATTGATATTGTACTATGGAAAATGTAAAAATGTTGCAGCTGGATGAGTCTTGCTCTGTACACTGTCACCTGTATGTTCAATGGCACCTTTCATTTCAGACCACTGTCATCAAGGATTGTTTATGTAGTGGGTTCGTCCTCTGTTGCACTAGTGGACTTGTAATTTTGTTGCAATAAAATTGATTCCCTAGGAGCTATGTAGCTCATCAGTGTTCTTGTGTGTGTGAATGCTAAGATTCATATATACTCCATGCGTGCATGAAAAAGGTTGTCATTATTATCCATTAACGCAATATCATTCATGAATATACCCATTGTAACATGGTTCGATGGCGTAGTTGGTTATCGCATCTGTCTAACATTTTCAACACCCATTGCGACTTGCACACAGAAGGTCCCCGGGTCGAATCATATGTTTTATTTTTTTTTGCCCTGCCGATATTTTTTTTTACCCTGCTAATATTTTTTTAGCTCTTCTTTCTTCTTTTTGCGTTCAGACTTTTTGTATGTGCACCGACTGGAGGATGTATGTAGTATAGTAGTAGTAGTAGCCTTTTTGGTTGTTGAAGGGAAATTCTGGATATTTGTGTACCCCAAGTAATGTATGTACCCACCCCCTCTTTCACCCGGTATTACATACATCCATACCATACTATACCATACCCAACCTTTTGTCCGAGCACTTCACGAATGGATTAAACATTCCTTTTGCGATTCTGCGATTCCTGGATTCTGTGAATGGTACACAACAAATGGAATTATGTATGTATTGGATGGATGGATGGGAGTAACCACACGTATGATTATACGAATTCCGAAGGGGAGATTGAGAAAGAAAGAAAAGAAAGAAAGAAAACAGGGGGAAAAGAGAAAAAAAGAGAAAAGCACTTGGTATGTGTTTATATGTATGTATGTATGTAGTAAAAGGTAGTACAACCGGGATGCATGCACGATTCCAAGTATTTCAACAGCCGCTTCTACTACCTCCAAGCTGACTTCGCGCAAGTGCTCAACAGCACTAAAAGCACCTCAAGAACTAGTCCGATACCTCTCCTTCAAATCCCGCGTTAACGCTCTCAGCATCGCGACTGTTACGATCTTCTTCTTCTCTGTCTCTCCTCCTTCTCTTTCTTCTTCACCTTCTTCTTCACCTGCACCTTCACCTTCACCTTCCCCGCGTTCATTTTCATCCGCACCTTTGTTATCTCCGTGGTAAGAACCGAGGCTCATCACAGACGTCGAGCGGGATCCATAAAGAGAAGTACGATGAGAATCGGGATCATCGTCGTTATCCCAGTTGGTGTGCATCTCTTCGTTGTTGTTGTTGTTGTTGTCCGCCAGGTCTTCCATATCGTCGTCCATATCATCGAGATCAATGACGGATGTAGACGCGGACCCTGGGACGGAGGTGGATGTCGAGGCGGAGACGGAGGGGTTGTGCGAATGCGTTGAGTAAGGGGAGTAGTTGGGGTAGTTTGAGTGATTCGAATGGTTCGCGGAACCAGCGGATAATCGAAGACGTTTGTTACTACTAAAAAAAAACAGATGGTATTAGTTAGACGCTGAACAGTGTGTGTGTGTTTTTCTCTCACCTCGAAACACTCTCCCCATCAACTCCATCGACATCAGAGAAACTTCTTCTTCTTGTCTTCTTCGCGTGCTTCGCATTCAACAACCCATTCAACCCACTTGTCCCGTTCGCGCTGGTTCCGCTTCCGCTTCTGCTGCCCCAACGTCCCCCACCAGATCGATCAGCCAACCGTCGAAACAACCGCCTATGCAACCGATTCATCAACCCGGACAACGCGACCTGCCGGGGCTTGATCGCCTCCTCGAAGGTTTCTTGCGCGGAGAGGATGTGGGTTGTGGGGATTATGAATGACAGAGAAGTAGAAGGAGAGGGTGAGGGTTGGGAGGATGACAGAGAGGACGATGAGGAGGAAGATGGTGCTAACGCGGTCAAGGACGACGACGACGTTGAACCCATAGCCGTAGCCGTAGACGTAGACATAGACGACAAAACCAACCCGGAACCAAACACCACGACGTCCCACAACTGTTCTACGAACGTCCGCGTGGGGAAGATCTTCCCCATCCGGGAATGGGTCTGGAGGTCGCGGATTAGGGAGAGGATGGTTTGTTCGAGGGTGGAAGCGATGGAGGTGTTGATTGAGGAGGAGGAGGTGGATGTGTTGGTGGAATTGGTGTTAGTGTAGAGATTGGAATCAAAATTGACCGGTGATCGATCCCGTCCATGTTCATGTTCATGTCCATCCCGAATCGACTGATACACCCGAACCAACCACTGAATACTCATCTCATACACAACGCTCATATCCCCATCCCCACCCCCATCTTCACTACGACCCGAAAACTCCGGCAACTCCACATCCCCCGCCCTCATCGGCACCGCGAACTGAAACTGACTGTGGCGCACGAGTGAGCAGATGAGATCCAGGGCGTGGTTGAGGAGCTCGACGAGGGCACGGAGGAGGTGAGTGTAGAGTGTCCAGTTGACTGGTTAGAGGTTAGAGGTTCGTTGTATCGTAAATTTATATTCGGTCATTTTCGAGATTTTCATGATATTTTTGATGTTTTTGGTTTCGTGTTTGGTTTCGTTTTTAGTTCGTGTTTCGTATATTGCGTATAGTTTTTTTTTTGTTCCGTAATTTGTGATTGGTGGTTTCCAATTTCGTGGTATTCGATTTCGTGGTTGTGGTTTTTCGGTGTGTGGTGTGTTTTCCGTATGTTCATTCGAATTAGGATTACGATTAGGATTGGGATTGGGATTAGGGCCGTTCGTTCGTGGTGATGTGTTGTGTTGTGATGTGATGTGATGTGATGTGTTGTGTTGTGATGTGTTGTGTTGTAATGTCGTATGCCGTGTTTTTGTTGGTTTTTGTTGGTTTCGTGTGTATGGGAGGGCGGAGGGAAATAGTGAAGGAGGAAGGAAGAACGAAGAAGGGAAAGAGTAAACGAAGTAAACCGACGTGAAAAAGAAAAAGAAATAAAAAAAGAGAAGAAACGCGTTCCCATGAGAGCGCGAGGGGAAGAAGGGGAGGATGATACGTGATGGAGATAAAAGAAGGAAGGAAGGAAGGAAGGAAGGACAACCCGGGAGCGAGTGAGTGGGTGAGTGAGAAAGCGAGCAAGCAAGAGAGTGAGTAAGTGCGTAAGCAAGTGAATAGTAGAAGAAAGGCACGAAGACCCAAAAACCCAAAAAAAACCAAAAACCACGCAGAAACGAAAGAAGAAACCACCCAAAAACCCGACAAAACAAAAACGCGGACGGGGACGGGGACGGGGACAGGGCAGGAGACACGGGACGGGAGACGGAGACAAGGGACAGGAGACAAAGCCACAGCCAAACACAAAGCCAAGCACACGAGACACGAGCCGAAGCCGAGGCAGAACCGAGACACACGACGCACAAGACAACAGCCGAACGAAGCAGCAGCAGCAGCAGCGGGAATGAAAAGAAAAAAAAACAACAAAAAAAAAGTCAGTAGATAACCTGACAAACGGGGGGGAAGAGGGAGATGGGGAGGACGCACAGGAGTTAGTATTAGTATTAGAGGTAGAGGTGGAGGTGGTGGAGCGGGTGGAGGAGGTGGTGGAGGGGGTATATCCATTGTTGTAGGCGTTGGATCTGGTGTTACATCCATTGTTGTAGGCGTTATATCCATTGTTGTAGGCGTTATATCCGTTGCCGTAGGCGTTGGATCCATAACCCTCACCCTCACCCTCACCCTCACCCTCACCCTCAGAAACCCCAAACGGAGGTAGAGATAAAGTCGGGCCCGAAGAGCAATTATCTAGCCATTCGATGAGGAAGGCGGTGAATGTGGGTTGGAGGAGTTTGAAGAGACCTGGATGGGGGAGGGAAGGGGGGAGG